TAAAATCATAATATAATATTCAATGATGAGTTGAAAGCGATTCCTGAGTTAACCTTTTAACTTAATATTAAATAGGAAATTTGATTAGGTAACATAATTGATTAGGTAGGCATGAGAGTCAAGTAAATTTTCCACTAGAATTATTTTACTCTTGTAGGTGGACTCGGTGGCAAGATTAGAGCAGGTGTGAGGTTACAATGGCATCAGCAGGACGATCTCTTTCTGAGTGTCTGTGGTGACTGCTACCTGGACAGAATTTGCAGAAATTCTGTAAGATGCGGGATGATCTGGGGACCTATATTCCAGCCTTGTTTCATAGAAACTGTGTTTACAAAAGCAGGAATACCACAGGACAGATTGACCTGCGTGTAGTCAGCAAATATTTAGTGTTTAGGCACTTCCACATAATTAAAATAAAAGACTGACTGAGCAGAACAACAACATGCCATCTTGCTCCATATATAAAAGGAAGGGGACTTTTATGCAGTAAATAAGAAAAGTACAAAATATATTGAAAGCTGATGCACACTGTGGAAAAAGAAAAGTTAGAGAAGGTGAGGGTTACTGTGAGTGTCAAGGCAAGGACAGACTGAGGCTTCTGTATTACAGAAAGTCCCTTTTTTCGGAGCAAAACGGAGAAGCACTGGAGCTGTTCTGCGTGCTCTTAATATGGAAAGGAAAGGTACAATCTGACCCATGTCTGCTAGGAAGAGACTGTAAAGGCTACTGTAGAAATAAGAACACAAAAGAGGCTACTGCCATTAGAAATTTGAGAGAAATTAATGACAGAGGACAATGTCATGGGTCCAGCAGGTTCTGTTTGTCCAACTCATTTATATTTATGAAGGTGCACATGAAAATTACATTTATTCATTTCTATAATCCGTGGGATTAAATGCACTTATAAGGGTGTGACATTGTCAGTGATTGGGTTCTATGATGCTGTTCTCTCGTACAGATGAAATTTTATCCATTAAACAACAGTTCTTCCCTACTCCACAAGTATCTGGGATTAAATTAAGTAGAAAAGAGAGTAACAAATCTTACAACTATACTTGTATTTTCCTTGTTTATTTATCATTATTGAAGCATTATTCAATTCTTCATAGATCTAAAAGTTATTATCTACCAACTTAAGTTGCAAGATTTCCTCAATCGTTCTTACAGAATGGTAAAAAATAACAACAAATAAAAAACAAAACCTCCACCTGTAGTAGTTTATCAGAGACTGTCTTCATTTTAGCCACTATTTTGGGGGTAGGAGTTCACTTACTATAATATTCTTAAGATTCTTGGTTGGCACTAGTTTTTGTTGTCACGAAAGTTGATTTTTAATGATTGCTGTCCCCTAAACTCATAAACTCTTTATTTAAATATTATATCTACATATTTTAAAAAACAGAAAATGCTCTAGTTTCCCATTTGATGAAAGTCTTCATTTTTCCCCAAATTTTTATTTGATTTGATGAATTTGAAGTCAAATTTCTGAGTATTATCTGATAGGGTGTGCTAAATTTATAGTGAAAGAACCTCCCAGGTCTAAGCAGTTACCCACACAGGTACAGAAAGAAATGTTCATTCAAGAATTAGTATGGTTTGAAGAAAATGTCACCAAAGGCTCATATATTTGATAGTTTGGTCAGTCCCAGGTTGGGGAAAATGGTTAGGAAGGATTAAGATGGGCACCTTGTTAGAGTTGATGTGCTACTTGGGGAAGGCTTTGAGGTTTCAAAAGCCCACAAAATTTCTAGCCTACCCCACTCTTTTCTGCTACATGGTTGTGTCTCAATGCCAGATCTCAGGCTCTGCTCCAGCACTATGTCTGCCTACTAGCCTGCCTGCCGGCCTGCCTGGCTGTTGTCATTCTCCCTGCCATATTAGCCATGCATTCTAACCCTTTGACACCCTAAACCCAAGTAAACTCTTTCTTTTATAATATACTTTGGTCATGGTGTTTTATCACAGCAACAGAATGACATCCTGGTTTTTCCTGATGTACCCAAACATGTACACATGTGCCTCCTCCAAAACACACACACAGAGGAAATCTAGTCTCTATTTTAAAAAAGTTCTCTGATGTTATTGAAAACATATAGACAATAAGAATTTATTACAGTAGGGACTAGAAAAATGGCTCAGAATTTAAGAGCACTGGTTGCTCTTCCAGAGGATCTAGGTTCAATTCCCAGTAAACCACAGCTGTTCAAAACTGTCTGTAATTCCAATTCCAGGGGATCTGACACCTTCACACAAATATACATAAAATAAGGTTAAATAATTATTTTTAAAAAGAAGTTATTACAGGGAACTTTTCTTGTGGAGAAGGCAATGAAAATGCAATCTCATTTCTTTTGCAAGATTCCTAAATACACTTATATAAATCTGTCACCAAAATATTAAAAACTGTCTGTTAAAATTATCTGATAACATGGCCTATTTTCCCTAAATTAAATCAATAAAAATAAAACGCTAGAGCTAGATAAGTCATTATTAGAATGCTTCAACAGCATTCTTATACTTTCTATAATTTAAGATATTAAACTTCTTTCAATTCCTTGTAGTATTCAACTAAGTCAGCAAATGAGCTTGAAGTTGGAGACTAATTGAAACAAAATCTATCTGAGAAAGGTCATCTAGTGAAGTCATGATAAGGTCATTTCCCCTAAGAATTCCCACAGTTCTTTATTGCCCTTTGTTTGAAAGGACTGTGTCATCAACACCTTAATTACTGGTGCAAACAGACAGCAGGCATCAAGGGGAGAGGAGAGTCTCAGAGAGCCTTGCATAAAGCAGGGCATTCTGGAGAGCCCATCCACAAAGGATGAGTCACATTTTAATATCTAAGATTAAATTTTACAGCCATGTCCCTGCTCAGTGTTTCACAGCAACCCAAAGCATCATAAGTAAGCTCACGAATGTACATCAGTGAAAGTTCAATGGTTAAAATGAAATTTTTCTGATATTCTGTGAGAAGGGTCAATAAGTACTCAAGGGGAATCGATACATTGTAATAAATATAGAGAACATTGAAAAGATTATAGAAAATAATGAGACAGGACGAGTTTTGGAAATATGATTTTATCATTGAATTGTAAAACCCAAATAAGGTAACAATGATAGGTGACTAAACGAGATAGGGTTGGTTAGATAGCCCCTTTCATGGTATTCTCTTTTGATAAAGGGATCTAGATTTCTCATCTGTGTGGTCAATAAATGGAATAGATATTGACAGAAAATATTAAAAGTGCTAGCAGGCTATTCAGCAATTAAAAAGACTGGGGGTTTTCTGAAGTATGAGTTGTCATGAGACTATTTTATACAGTACTATCATTAGTGTTATCATCTGTCAAATTCTTCTACATTGTGCATGAGAAGTAACACAAATGCATAAATAAGCATAATCAGTGAAATTAAAAAATATAACTATTCAAAAAGGAAAGAAAATATGTACTAAAATCTCCATCACTAACAAAAAATATTGTTTTAAAAATCCACAATATTCCAGTTTTCTGATCTATAGCATAAATGTCACATATTTTGTGGCATTCCAACACTAGCCCTAGTTTAAACAATCTGATTACAAACACCTAAGTAAAAAGAATTTCCAAACTTATGTGGTTTGAAAATCTTCACATTAATTAGGAAATGATAAAGAGCTCATAAAAATGTGATGGTACATATTATGCTTGTTTTAATAGTTGATATGGACACATACTCAGCACTAACAATACAAACAATTAAAATTAACAATGCATACATTCATGTCTCCGAATGTTTTTCATGTTGTCACTGACATTGGGCCAGAGGTGAAAGAGAAACTTTTCATTGTCATGCTTTCACAAAGCCAGAATGAGAAGCGTCATTCCAAGAGACAGTATGTAGTTATGCCGTATTTACTTGTACATTAATGAAAGAACCCTCCATTTGAAAATATAATCAGTTAATAAAAACTACCAATTCTTCCTTCATAGTCTGTTTCTATCATAATCAATTGCTATGCAACAAACCCTTTATGCACTTTCATCTGATGGTCCAACTTGATATTCACATTCACAAAAATCAAATAAAATTTATTTAAAAAACATATTCCCACGGACCATGCACTTCTTACAACAGACTAAGTCTGGTTTAATAAAATAAAACCAAAACTTCCTTGCGCCTTAAAAATATCATCTGAAAGCTAAATTTTCAGTTTTCTGATATAATAGCTTTTTCCATATTTTAGGTGATTGTAAACAAAGTGTTTGACTTAATTATATTTAATATAGTTTATCACATTAAAAGGCAATTGGTAAACTATAGCATTCATTTCTGTTGTCTTTATTTATTAAGATAATTACATGATCCTTGCCTAAGATTCACTCATTAGAAAGTATATCATCAGCTTGATTTATTTGAACTATTTTTAGATTTTTCCCTTTTTATCCACTGAAAATAATTAATATTGCCTGTGAAACCATATTAATGAAGCTACATTGTATTATAACCAATCATTTATATTACACTGTTGTATACACTGGAAACTATCATAATTAGTTTTCAAATGGATTATAGAAGACAAGAATGTAAAAACCAAGAGACCAGTAACACACTGTTTCCTGGATATAACAATTCTCTAGAGATTAGCTAATGCTGTGTATTTTCTATTCTCTTTTAAAATAGGAATATATATATTTGAAATATATATATACATATTCCAAAAAAACTTAATAACGTAGTGTGCATAATTGGACAAATTGGTAGGTCACTTCTATGATGAATAAATGATTAAAACATATTATAATGCTTTCCATATCCAAAATAAAAATGCACGAGGCTTCAGCTGGAAATAATGCTTATCACTGTACTTTCAGTTTTTCTTCCTGCATTGTTACTATGTATTTACATATATTCATATAGCAAATGGTTACATGTTTATCTCACAAGAGGCTATGAAGAACAACACAGTTATCGCTTTTGAGCAGACACACTGAGAACAAAGTAGAGGCTACATGCAGTACCTTTGGGTATTGTTTAACAGGAATCAATACTCTTTCAGAAAGCTTTATGTTTTTGTTGCTGATGACATCAAGATACTTCTTTTCTTCATCTTCCTTTTTTCCATCTGAACCTTGAAATTTCTCAATTTCTGAAAAATACAAAATCAGATACCAAAATAAGAGAAATGAAAAGTAGGTCACCATAGTATGATGATTGTTCCTACTCTTCCACATAAAGTTTGGACAGTTTTGATAAAGGCTGAAACTGCACTGTGCAAACATCTATGTAAATACTACTCCAAGGCAACCTCTGTGAACAGTAACTAAAAGGTGATATTGCAACATGACAGCAGCTGCTGTGGACAAAAGGATGCACTGGTCTGCTGTATGTAGCATCCACTAAACTACAAGAAAACTATGTCCTCTGACCACTTAAAACATTACACAAACAGTTGTCTTGGGAACAGGGACTAGAGCAAAGCATATCTTAAGTTTAGACTATTTTGATTTTTCTTAGAATTATTCTTAAGAAAATAAAATATTTAAAAATAGTAACCACCCAGTTCCCTAAAATATAGCAAAAACAAATTATATATTTTTATATTATAAACAATCTGAAAATCAATCTTAAAAGGGTCCTACAAAGTATAAAGATTGCTATTAGTAAATGTTAAGCAAAATGAGTATTTTGCCCTTAAGAGTGTTCCAAAGAAGTTATTCTAAATATAATTATACAATTTATTCATTCTTTCATTTTAATATTTTCATTAAAATGTTAATCTCTACTATGCTTCCCAGAGATAGAATAGAAAATCAAAGGCCCTGGTTTCATAGAATATGCATCCTAGTGAGGAAAACAAACAAATACATAAATGTGTGGGAAGAGAAAATACACACCACAAAACTACTAAAGGTATCAAGAGTAGAATCAAGGGACTCAGTCTGTGCTGACAACTTGTTAGAGTGAGTCAGTCCAGCTCCTGTATGTTAAAGAAGAGTAGGGCATGGGGAGACAAGAAATACTAGCAGCTGAGCAAAGCGCAAGGAGTTTGATGTGAGTGTATAGGGCAGAACTAAGATCCTGCAGGACAGGAGATGATTTCTGAATTTGTGTGTGTGTGTGTGTGTGTGTGTGTGTGTGTGTGTGTGAATGTAAGTAGAAGCCAGCCTCATCAGTGCAGGGCTTACAAGGCTCAGTGATTTACATTCATTTAGCTGAGAAGTGATGCTGAGGCTGGATTAACAGGGCAGGAAATAGATGGTAAGGCAAAGGTCTAATTGAAGCTGGAGTCTTTCCATACAAGTGGTCATGGGAAAGAGATGTATTTGGGATGTAGAAAAGCTGTTGTCACTATTTTTTGTCAGTTATTATCACAATATCATCTGTAAATAATTATTTTCTTGCTTTTTGCCATTTCATTGTCCTCCAACACCAATTAGTGTGGTTATGAAGGGGAATGTTTCTTACTTTTGTTACAGATGCATCAAAACCTTCTGTCCATAGTGGTGTGTGGAGTGAAAAAGGAAAAACAGACATTAAGATGGGCATTGAAATATATGTTAATTCAATCTGTCTACTCACAAGGCTATAAAAATATACTGTGTTTATTATACAAAAGTCTCTAATGAATACTATATTGATTATTAATCTTTTGAAACTTACATATTTATGAAAATGATCTCCAAAAGCTTACAGAAAAATTACTAACATTTCTGTCATAGATCTGTTGACTTCCATCCTGTCCTGTGTGCAACTTCAGCAATATTTTTCTATTGCTTATGTAGACATTGCCTGGATCACAGCTATGTGGAAGAGTTTGAATATGTGCATTGACTTCAGTAGTTACACACTAAAACTTCACTCCAGCCAAGGGTCTTAATGAACTTATTTAAAAATAAGTTAAATATAGACTGGTTACTACTTAGCATGATGGCATCAGGTTTCTAATGTCCTTCTTCAGTATATTAAGGGCTAACTTTAAATTGACTCCTTTATAAATCCCAGGAAGCTCTTTCCCTACCTTATATTCTTTTACAACCAGAACTCTGGCAATGTCAAGTAAATGCTCTCCATTACCTTCTCGGTGATGACAATGAACTCCTGATCAATGTCCTTGGTACTTGTACCTTCCAAGCACTTTACTTCCTACTCTGTGGAGGGAACTGTAACATGAGATACACTGAAGCTCAAGCTAGTCCCAGTCTGATACTTGAATAGCTTCTTTGTCATTCTGTCACAATAAGAAACTGAATTTGTCTGACATTCTCTGCCTCCCCCCCCACACACACATACAAAAAAAACCTTCAAGTTAGGCTTTTTTAGGCACTTCCAATTTGGTCATTCTATGGTTAATTCTAATAATGTTCCTATCAAGAAGCAGAGATAAATGAAATCCCATTTCCACTGCTCTTTCTGTTCAATTCTTCAATTTCCCTTTGAAACACTTGTCATTTCTTTTGGCCTCATGACAGATTCACAAAGTCATCTTTTCTTCCCTGACTTATCTGTGTGAGCAATAGCTCAATAATTACATGTCAATTGCAGTGCCACAAAATGGTATAACCAAACCTTCCCTGGTTTCAAAAGCAGAGAATTCAAATTTATGTAGCTCATTTCCTATTTTAATTTTTGCTTTCAGTTATTTACTTTCACATACTTAAAATAATTGTTTGAATTTTAACTCTTTTTTGTTTTATTATTACTAAGTAATTTATTTTTACATTTAAAATTAAAATATAATCACATCACCTCTCCTTACCTTTTCTTTACCTCTAATGTATCCCATAATCTCCCTCTCAAAGACAGCCATTTTCCTTTATTATTGTCACATAGATATTATCTATCTATCTATCTATCTATCTATCTATCTATCTATCTATCTGTCTATCTATCGAAAACTACATAAATATAACCTGCTGTGTCCATATTGTTGTTTGGGTGGATATAGTTACAGGGCTCACCACTTTATATTAGAAATCCTAACAGGGCTCATCCCTTGAGAATCTAATTTTGTCTAAGCACTCAATAGTTGCCTGTAGTTCTTAGACTAGGGATGGGACACCCGAGATTCTCCCCCCTACCTTATTAGCAAGTCTGCTAATATTGTCATTGTTCAGGCATTGGTCAAACAGACATTCTAAGAAAGGCAGTCACACAGCAAACTTCTTGGTATTCAGACTCTCACAATCTTCCCGCTACTTTTTCTGTGATATGCTCTGAACACAGGGTGCAGTAACTATGTTGCCAATGTATCCATGGAGCTGGGGCTCCCCACAATACATTGATATATTTATATTTTCATTGTGTACAGTTGTGGCTTCCATAACTTATTTTCAGATAGTTTCACACATATTTACAACTCTCATCCCTACTTTCTTAAGGTCCTTGCCATATCCTTCTCACATATTGCATTTCACATTCATGGCTATTCATTTTGTTTTGTTATCTATTGTGATTAATGTGTACAGTCCAAAACAATCTTGTTTCTAATTCAAATAAAAAAAATCTGCAAAAAAAGCTTCTGGACAGTTAGTGGATTCTATTGAGTGCTAAGAGTTCCTTATATAATATGTATTGCAATATTATCATGTAATGTTTTCTCCTATTCTAAAGTTACCTATTCCCATTTATGTTTAGAAGTTCATGAAATTATCAAAAATAAAATAAATGTTTTTAAAAGAAGGATGAAAGAACTAAGAGATGATAGAGGAGCACATGAGGCCCCATCAAGTTTTTCCTAACTATTAACTGTTAACAGACTCTGAGGGTGGGTAGTCACCATCTTCAGTAGCATATTCATAGCTGAAACAACCAGGCTTCAACAGAATTTTTACTCTTTAGTTAGCTAATTAATTATGATACTTTTGATTGAATCCAGCCTTATGCACAATACCAGGCAATGCTTTACACTAAGATATATCTACAGCCCTCTTTTGTTTATTCACTTTTACTTTAAAGTATAATCTTTAAGATTCCACATGTTCTGAACTCACTCTGTATCACAGTGGTCCTAAACATAAGGTAGTCTAGCATCAGCCTCCCATGGGGCTTAGTACAATGGAATCTTGAAATTTGCAGGAAAATGGATGGAACTCGAAGAAACCATTCTGAGCGAGGTAACCCAATCACAAAAAGACAAACATGATATGTACTCACTCATATGTGGATTTTAGACATAGAGTAAAGGATTACCAGCCTGCAATTCACACTGCCAGAGAAACTAGTAAACAAGGAGGACCCTAAAAAACACAAACATTGTCCCCTTGAGAAGGGGAAAGGGTCAGATCCCCTGAGCAAATTGAGAGCATGGGAAGAGGAGGGAGGGAGCTACAAGAATGAGGAGAGCAGAAGAGGAAGGATGCAGAGGTTATGAGGGAGCAGAAAGGTTGAGTCATGTGTAGATTATAAGAAAGGATATGTGATAGGGTTTTAGTTGGAGGGTGGTAGGGGAGGAAGGAAGAGAGAAGGGAACTGGGATTGTCATGTAATTCAATCTTCTTTCTAATTCCAATAAAAATGATAAAAAAGAACCCTAAAACACACACATCTCAAAACTGGAGAAAATGAGCAATGCTTGGGGCAATAATATATATGACCTCACATTCTTTATATGATAGAGCCATAGTAACAATGGCAGCACAGTAAGACACAAAGACAGCATGCAGAGTGGAACACAGGGCCTTAGTATGAGAACACAGTTACATCCATGATTTTTACCAAAGGTTTTAAAAATAGTTTAAACATGGTATGCATTCAATCATATATGGATTTTACACATAGAGCAAAGGATTACCAGCCTACAATCCATACCACCAGAGAAGCTAGCAACAAGGAGGACTGTAAGAGAGAAATACATGGTCCCCTGGAGAAGGGGAAAGGGATAAGATCTCCTGAGCAAATTGGAAGCCTGGTGGGAGGGAAGAGGGAGCTAGGAGAATGAGAAGGGGAGAGGAAGATATAAAGGAGCAGGAAGGTTGTGGAGTGGGTACAATAGAGGAGAGCAAAATAAGAGATACCATCAGAGAGGGAGCCAGTATAGGTTTAAAGAGAAATCAGGCACTAGGGAAATGTCTAGATATCTACAAGAATGATACCAACTAACCATTTAAGCAACAGTGGAGAGGCTACCTTAAATGCCCTCCCCTGATA